AATGTGGACATTGGTGGAGTTTGGAGAAAATAGATCTTGACATTTGAAAGATGTAATTGCTGGGATTTATAGTTCACCTACAATCAAAGAGCATTCTGAACCCCACCAATGATAGAATTGGGCAAAGCTTCCCACACAAAACTCCCATGACCAACAGAAAATATTGTGTTTTCTGATGGTCTTTGGCGACCCCTTTGACACAGCCTTGTGACCCCCTTTAGGGGTCCCGACCTCCTGGTTGGGAAACGCTGGACTAGACGAAAGTAACCCCACGTTCGGCCACAGAAGTAGGATTTTCCACACTTGGCACTCTTACAATAAAGAATCAAACGCACAGTTCTTCTCGAGCACTGCCCACTCCTTTCCTTGGGGTTTATATTAGGCTCGCTCAGCCTCGGCTGCCATTTGATCGCTCCATTAATGTTTTGTTCTGCAGGGCATTCTTTTCCCACCCTCACTTGAACAGAAAAATCACCCAAGGCGTGCAAAACATAATCTTATTAGCACGATTCAAAAGAACTCCTTCCACCATTCGCAGGTAGCTATCGACAACCTTGGAGCCTTAAACGAGGCATGAATGAACTAAACACAAAGGGTCCACCTACACCAGTGGTTGCCGACCTCCTTAATGCCACGAGCCTTGAATACAGTTCCTCATGTTGTGTTGACCATCAACCATAACATTATTTTCGTTGCTACTTCATAACTGTAATGTTGCTACTGTTATGAATCGTAATGTAAATATCTGATATGCAGGATGTATTTTCATTCACTGGACCAAATTTGGCACAAATACCCAATACACCCACATTTGAATACTGGTGGGGTTGGGGGGGGGGGGTGATTTGGGAGCTGTAGTTGCTGGAATTTATAGCTCACCTGAGCTTTGAGATGGTTGAACAGAAGCTCTCCGAAGCTCTAGGTGCTCTTACTCCCTATTACAGGGAAAACCAGCTGATTCCTAATCCATCTAAAACACAGACATGTGCTTTTCATCTCAAGAACAGACAAGCATCCCGAGCTCTGAGGATCACCTGGGAAGGAATCCCACTGGAGCATTGCAGCGCACCCAAATACCTGGGAGTCACTCTGGACCGTGCTCTGACCTACAAGAAGCACTGCCTGAACATCAAGCAAAAAGTGGGTGCTAGAAACAATATCATACGAAAGCGGACTGGCACAACCTGGGGATCACAACCAGACACAGTGAAGACATCTGCCCTTGCGCTGTGCTACTCTGCTGCTGAGTATGCATGCCCAGTGTGGAACACATCTCACCACACTAAAACAGTGGATGTGGCTCTCAATGAGACATGCTGCATTATCACAGGGTGTCTGCGCCCTACACCACTGGAGAAATTACACTGCTTAGCGGTATTGCACCACCTGACATCCGCCGGGAAGTAGCAGCCAATAGTGAAAGGACCAAGGCAGAGACATCTCCAGCTCGTCCCCTGTTTGGGTATCAGCCAGCACGTCAACGACTTAAATCTAGAAATAGTTTTCTAAGATCTACAGTAGACACTCGCTGGAACACCTCAGCAAGCGAGAGTCCAAAAGTGGCAGGCTCAAACCCAGAACCTCAACCAATGGCTGATACCAAATGAGAGACTCCCCCCTGGGCACACAGAGAACTGGGCGACTTGGAAGGCACTGAACAGACTGCGCTCTGGCACCACAAGATGCAGAGCCAACCTTCAGAAATGGGGCCACAAAGTGGAATCCATGACATGCGAGTGTGGAGAGAGCAAACCACTGACCACCTGCTGCAATGCAACCTGAGCCCTGCCACATGCACAATGGAGGACCTCCTTGCAGCAACACCAGAGGCACTCCAAGTGGCCATACTGGTCAAAGGACATTTAATCAACTACCAAGCTTGCAAACTCTGTTTTGTCTGTTTGTTAAAAATTTAATACAATTTTCTGGTGGATACTGACACGATAAATAAATAAATAAATAAATAAATAGTCCACCTACAATCAAAGAGCATTCTGAACTCCACACGCAATGGAATTGAACCAAACTTGGCACACAGAACTCCCACGACCAACAGAAAACATTGGAAGGGAATGGTGGGCATTGACTTTGAGTTTGGAAGTTGTAGTTCACCTACACCCAGAGAGCACTGTGGAGTTAAGCAATGATGGATCTGGACCAAAGTTGGCACGGATACTCAATATGCCCAAATGTGAACACTGGTCGAGTTTGCGGAAAATAGACCCTGATATTTGGGAGTTGTAGTTGCTGGGATTTATACATCACCTACAATCAAAAAGCATTCTAAACTCCACCAACAATGGAATTGAACCAAACTTGGCACAGAGAACTCCCATTAACAGAATATAATGGAAGGGGTTGGTGGGCATTGACCTTGAAATTGGGAGTTGTAGTTCACCTACATCCAGAGAATTGCTTGAGCGCACAGAGACGCGTTGGGGAGCCTTGGAGAATTTTGGCAGCTTTGGGGAGCCACGGGGATGCTTTAGGGAGCCCTGAGTACATGGAGATGCTTTGGGCAGCTTTGGAGAGACGTGGGAATCACGGCTTGGGAAGCCTTGGGCACACTGAGACACTATGGGGAGCCTTGGAGAGCTTTCGACATGGCTGGGTAAGACTTGGGCACATGGAGATGCTTTGGGTAGATTTAGGAAGCTTTGGAGACACATTAGGGAGCCTTGGGTGAACAGGGAAGCTTTAGGGAGCCTTGGAGAGCTTTGGGCAGCTTTAGGCAGGGCTTGGGAAGCCTTGGGCAAACGGGGACACTTGGGGAGCCTTGGAGAGTTTTTGGCAGCTTGAGGGAGCTTTGGACAGGGCTTGGGAAGCCTTGGGCGCACAGAGATGCTTTGGGAAGCTTTGGAGACGCCTTAGGGGGGCTTGGGCGAACGGAAACACTTTGGGAAGCCTTGGGCACGACTGGAAAATACTTGTACACATGGAGGAGCATTGGGCAGATTTGGAGAGCCTTGGGAAGACTTTAGGGAGATGCAGAGTGCTTTGGGCAGGGCTTGGGAAGCCTTGGGCACACGGAGATGTTCTGGGAAGCCTTGGAGAGCTTTGGGCACGGCTGGGTAAGGCTTGGGTGCACTGAGACGTTTTGGGAAGCTTTGGAGATGCATTAGGGAACCTTGGGCGAACGGGGATGCTTTGGGCAGCCTTGGAGAGCTTTGGGCAGCTTTAGGGAGTTTTGGAGATGCTTTACGGTGCCTAGGAGAGCTTTGGGTAGGGCTTAAGAAGCCTTGGGCGCACGGAGACACTTTGGGCAGCTTTGGAGATGCCTTAGGCGAACAGTTTTGGGGAGCCTTGTGAAGCTCTGGGCAGGATTGGGAAACACTTGCGCACACTGAGGAGCTTCAGGGAGCCTTAGAGAGGCTTGGGCATGGCTTGGACAGGTTTTGGGGAACCTTGGGTAGCTTTGGGTAGCCTTGGGGATGTTTTAGGCAGGCTTGGGCACACAGAGACGTTTTAGAGAGCTTTGGGGAGCCTTGAAAAGCTTTGGGCACAGGTGTGAAACACTTGGGCACATGAAGGAGCTTTGGGGAGCCTTGGGCATGGCTGGGAAACAATTGGCCGCACGGAGGAGTCATCTAGCTCAACTCCATTCTGTCATGCAGAAATACACAATCAAATCCCTCCCAAGAGATGGCCATCCAGCGATCTGTTGGGAGAGCCTTGGAGAGGCTTTAGGGAGCCTTGGAGAGCTTTGGGCAGGGCTTGGGAAGCCTTGGGCGCAAGGAAATGCTTTGGGCAGCCTTGGAGAGCTTTGGGCACAGCTGGGTAAGACTTTAGTCAACGGAGACGCTTTGGGCAGCCTTGGAGAGCTTTGGACGGCTTTGGAGAGCCTTGGGGAGCTTGGGACAGGATTGGGAAACACTTTGGCGCACGGAGGAGCTTTGGGGAGCCTTGGAGAGGCTTGGGCACGGCTTGGGCAGCTTTGGAGAGCCTTGGGGACGCTTTCGGCAGGCTTGGGCACACGGAGACGCTTTAGAGAGCTTTGGGGAGCCTTGGGCACGGCTGGAAAACACTTGGGCGCACTGAGGAGCTTTGGGCAGCCTTGGGGAGCCTTGCAGAGGCTTTAGGGAGCCTTGAAGAGCTTTGGACAGGGCTTGGGAAGCCTTGGGCGCACGGAGAAGCTTTGACAAGCCTTGGAGAGCTTTGGGCACAGCTGGGTAAGGCTTGGGCGAACGGAGACGCTTTGGGCAGATTTGGAGAGCTTTGGAGACGCCTTGGGGAGCGTTGGACAGGATTGGGAAACACTTGGGCGCACGGAGGAGCTTTGGGGAGCCTTGGAGAGGCTTGGTCACGGCTTGGGCAAGTTTGGGGTGCCTTGGAGAGCTTTGGGGAGCCTTGGGGACGCGTTAGGCGGGATTGGGCGCTCGGAGACGCTTTAGAGAGCTTTGGGGAGCCTTGGTCACGGCTGGGAAACACCTGGGCGCACGGAGGAGCTTTGGGCAGCTTTGGGAGAGCTTTGGGCATGGCTGGGAAACCCTTGGACGCACGGAAGAGCTTTGGAGAGCCTTGGAGAGCTTTGGACAGGGCTTGGGAAGCCTTGGGCGCACGGAGACGCTTTGAGAAGCCTTGGAAAGCTTTGGGCACAGCTGGGTAAGGCTTGGGCGAACGGAGACGCTTTGGGCAGATTTGGAGAGCTTTGGAGACGTCTTGGGGAGCTTTGGACAGGATTGGGAAACACTTGAGCGCACGGAGGAGCTTTGGGGAGCCTTGGGCAAGTTTGGGGAGCCTTGGAGAGCTTTGGGGAGCCATGAGGACGCCTTAGGCGGGCTTGGGCGCTCGGAGACGCTTTAAGAGAGCTTTGGGGAGCCTTGGAGAGCTTTGGGCAGGGCTGGGAAACCCTTGGGCGCACGGAAGAGCTTTGGAGAGCCTTGGAGAGGCTTTAGGGAGCCTTGGAGAGCTTTGGGCAGGGCTTGGAAAGCCTTGGGCGCACGGAGACGCTTTGGGGCGCAGGGGAAAGGATGGGGCCCCATTCCAGGCTACTCACTGACCGTTCGGTTCTGCGCTGCTCCTACTCCTCGGGTGCCTCCGCTTCCCAACCTCAGCGCGGTTCTACTCCAAGGGAGAGCATGGCGGTGGCAGCAAGGGCCCCGCTCCTTCGCCCCTTCTTTCCTTCCCTTACAGCTCCTTTCGGGGGGCCCGAAAACACAGAGTCTAGGGCGGGCCTCGGTGTTGGCCCCGGTCCCAGAGGGAAGGGAGGAACGAAGGAAGGAAGGAAGAGAAGGAGGGAGGAGTGCGGATCCCGCCCCTCGACCCGCCCCTCCTCCGAGTCGCCCCTCGCCTTCCTCTTTCTGCTTCCAGAGATCACGCTGTGCCAAGTTAGCTCTCCAAAAAGAAACTTTTCCCCTGTATAGAGACGAGATTGACTCTCCAAGCTATACAAGTCTAAGAAGTGGGACCCCAAGGGCCATCCAGTCCAGCCCCATTATTCTGCCAAGCAGCAAGACACCATTTAAGCCCTCCTAACAGATGGCAATCCAGCTCTACAGGCATTATGGAGAAATAGGGCAATAGAATCAAAGTCTCCTAGAGTTGGAAGAGACTCCAAGGGTCATCCAGTCCAGCCCCATTATTCTGCCAGGCAGCAAGACACTATCCAAGCCCTCCCAAGACCTTCTGCCAGGAAGCAAGACACCATCCAAGCCCTCCCAACAGATGGCCATCCAGCTCCACAGGCATTATGGAGAAATAGGGCATTGGAATCAAAGTCTCCTAGAGTTGGAAGAGACTCCAAGGGTCATCCAGTCCAGCCCCATTATTCTGCCAGGTAGCAAGGCACCATCCATTTCTCTCCGAGCTATACAAGCCTAGAAGTGGGACCCCAAGGGCCATCCAGTCCAGCCCCATTATTCTGCCAAGCAGCAAGACCCCATTTAAGCCCTCCCAACAGATGGCCATCCAGCTCTACAGGCATTATGGAGAAATAGGGCAATAGAATCAAAGACGCCTAGAGTTGGAAGAGACTCCAAGAGCCACCCAGTCCAGCCCCATTATTCTGCCAGGCAGCAAGACAGCATTCAAGCCCTTCTGCCAGGAAGCAAGACACCATCTAAGCCCTCCCGACAGATGGCCATCCAGCTCCACAGGCATTAGCAGGCTCATATGGAGAAATAAGGCAATAGAATCAAAGTCTCCTAGAGTTGGAAGAGACCCCAAGGGCCATCCAGTCCAGCCCCATTATTCTGCCAGGCAGCAAGACACCATACAAGCCCTCCCAACAGATGGCTAGCCAGCTCCACAGGCATTATGGAGAAATAGGGCAATAGAATCAAAGTCTCCTAGAGTTAGAAGAGACTCCAAGGGCCATCCAGTCCAGCCCCATTATTCTGCCAGGTAACAAGGCACCATCCAAAATGTCACAAAATGTTCCAGCAGTCACCAGCCAATCCCTTTCCAATGCCAGATATACAGCTTAATGATGTAACATTAGAAAATGTTGACCATTTATTTATTTATTATTTATTTATTTATTACTGTACTTGTATACCGCTGTTTCTCAGCCTAACTGGCGACTCAACGCGGTTTACAACAAAATACAAAATACAACAATCAACGGCGTTCAGTTTAAAACCATAAAAAACATCATACACAATACACAATATTGGCCCATCAATAACAATCCAATGCATCTCCTAACTAAAATCGTGATCCAATTTCGTCGTCCATATTACCAGTCCTTAAATCAACAAATTCAAATTCATTGCACCGAATTAACCAAACGCCTGTTCAAACATCCAGGTCTTCAATCTTTTTCGAAACACCATCAGCGAGGGGGCTGATCTTAACTCCATGGGAAGGGCGTTCCAAAGCCGAGGGGCCACCACAGAAAAGGCCCTGTCTCTTGTCCCCGCCAGCCGCACCTGTGAAGCAGGCGGGATAGAGAGCAGGGCCTCCCCAGAAGATCTTAGGGTCCTGGTGGGCTGATAGGCCGAGATACGTTCGGATAGGTAGGTTGGGCCAGAACCGTTTAGGGCTTTAAAGGCCAACGCCAGCACTTTGAATTGAGCCCGGTAGCAAATCGGCAGCCAGTGGAGCTGGTGCAGCAGAGGAGTTGTATGCTCCCTGCGCTCCGCGCCTGTTAGTATCATGGCTGCCGACCGTTGGACTAATTGGAGCTTCCGAGCCGTCTTCAAAGGCAACCCCACGTAGAGAGCGTTGCAGTAGTCTAAACGGGATGTAACCAGAGCGTGGACTACCGTGGCCAAGTCAGACTTCCCAAGGTACGGGCGCAGTTGGCGCACGAGTTTTAACTGTGCGAATGCTCCCCTGGTCACCGCCGAAACCTGGGGTTCCAGGCTCAGCGATGAGTCCAGGGTCACACCCAAACTGCGAACCTGCGTCTTCAGGGGGAGTGCGACCCCGTCCAACACAGGCTGTAACCCTATACCCTGTTCGGCCTTGCGACTAACCAGGAGTACCTCTGTCTTGTCTGGATTCAATTTCAATTTGTTCGCCCCCATCCAGACCGTCACAGCGGCCAAGCACCGGTTCAGGACCTCGACAGCCTCCTTAGTAGCAGGTGGAAAGGAGGGACAGAGTTGGACATCATCTGCGTACAGATGACATCGCACTCCGAAACTCCGGATGATCTCGCCCAGCGGCTTCATGTAGATGTTAAACAACATGGGAGACAGTATTGAACCCTGAGGAACCCCACAAGACAAAGGTTGTGGGGTTGAACAGGAGTCTCCCAGTAACACCTTCTGAGACCGACCCTCCAGGAATGAGCGGAGCCACTGCAAAACAGTACCTCCAAGACCCATCCCCGCGAGGCGTCCCAGAAGGATACCGTGGTCGACGGTATCGAAGGCCGCTGAGAGGTCCAGCAGCATCAACAGGGACACACTCCCCCTGTCGAGCTCCCGGCGCAGATCATCCACTAAGGCGACCAAGGCTGTCTCGGTACCATGTCCCGGCCTAAAGCCAGACTGTGCCGGGTCTAGATAATCCGTATCTACCAAGAATACCTGGAGTTGTGAGGCCACCACACGTTCCAAGACTTTGCCCAAAAAGGGGAGATTGGAAACTGGCCGATAGTTGTCGAATTTAGTGGGGTCCAGTGATGGTTTCTTCAACAGCGGTTTTATTATAGCTTGTTTTAAGCTCGCTGGAATCTTGCCTTCCCGAAGGGAGGCATTAACCACCACCTTCACCCACTCGGCCAATCCCCCTCTGGCCTCCTTCAGAAGCCAGGATGGGCAGGGGTCTAGGATGCATGTGGTAGCTCTCATTCCTCCAAGCACCTTGTCCACATCCTTGGATTGAACCAATTGAAATGAATCCATCAAAACCGGACAAGCAGATGCTCGTGTTACATCCTCAGAGACTGCCGTTAATATGGTATCCAGACCAGAGCGGATCAAAGCGACTTTGTCTGCAAAGAACTGAGCAAAGGCTTCACAGCGAGCTGCCGAGTCATCAGGGCACCCATCCTGCATGGTGGGTTTTAACAGGCCTCTGACAACTCGGAACAGTTCAGCCGGACGGTTCTTTGCAGACGCAATAGTGGCCGCAAAGAAAGTTTTCTTTGCGGCTCTTATTGCCGCGGCATATGACCTTAAAAAGGACACAAACCGTGTTCGATTTGGCTCGCTCGGATCCGAACGCCACACGCCCTCTAGTTCCCTCTTCTTTCGCTTCAACGCTGCCAGCTCCTCAGTGAACCAAGGAGCTGGTTTAGTTTGGCTACTTGAGAGGGGACGTTCTGGAGCGATCGTGTCTATTGCCCTAGTCATCTCCCCATTCCAGAGAGCGACCAGGGCATCAACAGGATCACCAACCGAGGTGGCGGGAAATTCCCCAAGAGCCGTCAGGAATCCATCCGGATCCATAAGCCTCCTGGGGCGGACCAGTTTAATGGGTCATCCACCTCTGCGGAGGTTAGGGGGTGCAGTGAGTCTAAAGCTGACCAGGTGGTGGTCGGTCCATGGCAACGGAGAGATGGATAACTCCTCAACACCGCCACCTTCCTCCCATCCCTGGCAGAAAACCAAGTCCAATGTGTGTCCAGTAGGGCTGGGCGGTTTCGTTTCGTTAATCGTAATTCGTTAATAATTCGTTAATTTTTTCAATTACAAAACGATAACGAACCATTCTGGAGCAATTATTTAAAAAAACGAATTTTCAAAAACGTTTTGTAAATGCTTCGTATTTCGATATTGTATTCGTTTCGTTATTGTTTTGAGGTCGTTTCGTTATTATTTCCGCATGTCTGGGCCAGTTTTATGGTTTAATTAGTGAAAAAAATTATAATATCACACCAACAGTCAACAACAGAGGGAGAGGGAAGCTTCAGAAGGTTTTGGAGGTTTTTTAGCGTATTTCGCGGTCGCGTCCGCCATTAACGAATCGATTCGTTATTGTTTCGGAAATCGATTCGTTAATTTTTTACCATTTACGAAATTTCGTAAATATCGAACTTTTTAAAAGGAAAATTTTGTAATTATTTTAAATATCGAAACAAAAAAACCCCCCAAATACAAATCGATTTTAGAAACAAATTTTTCCGTTGTTACCCAGGCCTAGTGTCCAGCACTGTGGGTGGGGCCAGATACCTGTTGGGACAGCCCCATGGTTGCCACTGACATGAAGTCCTGAGCTGCTCCCGATAAGGCAGCCTCGGCGTGGACATTGAAGTCCCCCAGCACAAGCAGCCGTTGGGACTCCAATGCCAGGTCCGAGACCACCCCCGCTAGCTCAGTCAGGGAGTCTTTAGTGCAGAGAGGTGGACGGTACACTAACAGAATCCCTAATCTGTCCCGGTCACCCACCCTCAGGTGGACGCATTCAAATTTTGTTGACTGCGGGATGGGGGCCCTGGTCAGAAGAATGGAATCTCTATAGACCACTGCAACCCCGCCTCCCCGCCCTCCGGATCTCGGTTGGTGCTGCACAGAGAACCCGGGTGGACAAAGCTGGGTCAAATTTACACCTCCCGCTTCGTCCAGCCAGGTCTCTGTGATGCACGCCAGATCTGCCCGTTCATCCAGGATTAAATCCTGGATGAAGGTTGTTTTACCGTTGACAGATCTGGCGTTCAACAGCACCACTTTCAATCCGGAGGGACCGCCATCCTGGTTACACCAACTTACCATATCAGGAGACCGATTAGGAGTTACTAGTGTTGTTCCACGTTCCCTAGGCCGAATTAAAGGTCTCCCTTTCCCGTATCTCCCCCTCCCCACCACGACTTCTATGGGAGCTCCCCGGCTAACGGAACCCGCTC